ACAAATCCACACACACACACACATATACTTCATTTTAAAAAATAATTAAAAATAATAAAAAAGTTTAAAAAATAAAAAAAGAAATGATCTTAGCATACCTGTATGAGTACTACCGTCCTCCAAAACGATAGTTGAAAAGCCTCTTCTTTCATTGATCTACAGCTCATTTCAAGAGGCCCAGAATTGGTTTTTATTTTACAGTCGATGGCATCTTATACTAATTACCAAGGTTTCCTTTCATGGTAGTCAGATTAGTTCCTTTCTCAATCTGTGGCCAGAGATCCAGACACAAGTGAAGGGAAAGAGGGCTCATGTAGGCTCCCAGTTTCGGACGATTCAGTTCATCCTGGAGGGAAGGGCCTGTTGAGCAGAGCAGTCCCTATATACAGCAGGGAGAAGAGGAAAGACATAGTTCAGGGGACATGCTCAGTTACCTTATTTGTCCACCTAGACCCTACCTCCCACCCATCACCACTTCCTAATAATTCCACCATGTCGTTTGTCTACAAGTCAGAGCCCCGTGGTCTAAATAACCCTGGAAATCCCTCGAAGACATAGCCAGCAATGTGTTTTACTAATCTCTTAGGTACTCCTCAATCCAATCAAGTTGATAATTAGCATTGACCATCACAGTGGTACATGAGCTGATGTGTCCTCATTTGATTTAAATGACATGGTGCATTTTATGAAACATGTTATTCATTACCATACTTCACTACAGGGCTCTCATGAACACCAGTGCACCTAGTAATTTCTATCTTGAGCAAAATCACAATTTTGTATGAGTTAAATACCACATGTAAGGGGTTTCAGGATTCCTAAGATGCCATTGGAACTCCAAACTAAGTCATTCTTTAAAGGCAGAAGGGCTGATTCTCCCCACTGTGCGCTTGACCACCAAAATAGCATGTTTGAAGTGTGACCCTGACAAGCTAGAAATGGCACAGAAACCTGAGGATGTCCTGATAGGAGATGACAGCAGTTTGTTGGGTTTTTTTTTTTCTGGCTCCATGAAGTTTCTTTGTCAATTATTACAGAGTCATGTTTGTATTAAAATAGTCATCAAAGGAAGACTGTTTTGACCTTATCAAATGTCTTTTTTACATGTGTGCTTTTATACCTCAATAAAATTTTCTTTTTAAAATTTCATACTTGAAAATCAAACAAAGAAGCAACTAAGTCTCACTCAGAGTCAGGAAGGTCTCAGAGAGCAAGACACTCTTGAATTACAGAAACCAGTGAGACGTAGGTCCCAAGAGGGACCTTTGGCAGAACACACAGGTTGAAGCACTCAGACAGCCTCGTGACATCACTTTTAGCCAGAGTTGGTCATTCATATGCATCCTTCACTCTTGACTCACAGGACTCACGGGCATAGTCTTTAGCCTAACAGAAAGGTCAGGGAGGTGGTGAAAAGGACTGGCCCTCTCCAGGAGTGCACTAACAGAAGGTGAATCACCAGGGCGGAGACAGCCTTGAGGTAGGATCTACAAGCATGTTGGTGTCTGGATAGTTGGCGTGATCATAAAAATGGAAAGGACTCCAGCTTCTGGACCCTTTGAAGAAAGCAGTTATCTCCTCCTACTTTGACCCAGCCTGGCACTGGCTTCCTGAAGAAGGAACAATTCCACACTGTGGAGGCCTCTAGGATTTCACAGCTAACTGGATGGGGAAGGGTGGCAGATAGTTTATCAGGGTTCAGACAGCATCTGTGTTTTCTTAAAGAAATGAATGCCTCCATGAACAGACTATTGACTCACTGGGCCAGCTGTAGTTAAGAATGATGGTCAGGGCCGGGGAGATCGCTCTGGGTAAAAGTGCCTGCTGTGCAAGTCTGATGACCTGAGTTTAGATCTCTAGACCCCCATGTAAAAAGCCAGAGCAATAGCAAGCCTCTAACCCCAGCACTCACAGGATGAGGCAGAAGCTTGTGGGCTGGCTAGCCTGGCGTATGTAGTGCAGAAGTACAAAGAAGAGAAACACTACCTCAAACAAGACAGAAGGTGAGAACAGATCCTAGAATTTGTCAACACACACACACACACACACACACACACACACACACACACGAGATTTCTTTTCTACCCAGAGAATAACAACCTAGATATATTAGGATTTAATGAGTGAGTTAGTGTTTTCTTTGCTAATATCTGGTAGTCAGTGTACTACTCAGAAGACATCAGTGCAGTGGGAACAAAGTCTGAGTTCATTCATATCTTTGCTATACGGTCTTCTGCAGTGATGTTTTTGCAACCAATTATTTCAAGTATATTCTGCTCCTCCTTCTCTCCCCCATGCAAAACGAAATAATAATTCATTAATTAGAGGGGTTTTTCAGCTAAAATTTGATCTTCTGGGCTGTAGGAATGCTGCTTCCTGTGAGCTGCGAGCTCATCCTGACTCTCTACTTCAAAAGAGGGGAAGCTCATAGCTGTTATACAAGTTGCAGGATATATCAGCAAATGAGCGTCCTACTCCTGGTAGTGTGGGCAGAGCATCAGAAAAGGCCTCCCTGTCTGTTTTTAGAAGAACAAGCTGAGTGCCGAAATTTATGTCAGACCATCCTTGTCCATTGATGGCGAGTCTCCTCCGCCTAGAGCCACAGCCTACGCACAGCACGGAGAAGCTAACTGACTGAGGCTCAGAATGTTTTCTACAAATTAAAGCTAAAACAAACTGTGTCCATATATAAACTCCAAATTAACTGGAGAAGAAGAGCACACCAACCCATCTGGAGTCTTTAATTGTGGACGTTTATTTTTTGTATTACAGAATGTACCCAAAGTAGGCCAACGTCGCTTTGCAGATTAGGTTTCAGCCCGTCACTTCAAGAGTGGTGTATTTATTTCATCTTCACACTCTGATTTTCCAAAAGCTGAGCTCCAGAGTAAGCACTAAACTCGTTGCTCTTCTGAAGGCAGATAGCTCATTATTACCTAAGAAAGGTTCCCTGGGCTTCTGTATAACTCAGACCACACAGCTCCTACCCAACAGCCTGGCTCATTTTATCCTATTTCGGAGGGGTTCCTTTCTAAAATGGACATTATTACTTAGGTTTAAATATCACTGGTCCTATTAAGTGTCTCCCCGTGCCTGATAGCAACTGCATTCCTAGAGCAAAGTGGTGTAGAAATACATCAAGTCATATATTAGTAGTTAATTCCATTTCACTAGGTTTTTAATCCACATATCAGAATTATATAGGAGTTTTAGATTGTATGTACTGGTACACGTTTTATTTACACTCTTACCATCTTAGTTCATTCTTATATTTCATGTTAAAAAAACAATTCTTACAAAGAAAGAAAATTTAAATTCTCAAGACTGAAGTTCGCTTTTCATTTTAATACAAATAAAAGCAGACTCAATCTATTTACCTGACTAGTAACTAAATCTAAGAGACAGAGTAATACTGGATTTATGCCATTGCAAGTTAATGCTTCTGCATAATCACCTTTGTGTCCATCTCAATGAGATCACAGTTGCTCAGTAGAGTGTGTCCAGTCAAGATGGGGCTGGCAGCCCTCGTCTGCAAAGGCATTAGAAGTAGGACACATTCAGAGGCAAATGAGTTGGGTTCAGAGACATTAATGTAACGTATCAGTGACTAAATCTGGGAACTAAACTCATAAATTTCATAGCAGAAAACACAAGGTTATTTCTCTATAACCTTGGTTTCAGGGATAGATTCTAAAATGCAACCCACCAAAGTATGAACAACAAGAGAAAAATCAAATAGATATAAAAATGTAAAAGTTATGTGCATCAGAGGACACTATCAGTAATAGGAAAAAGATTAGAAAATGGGGGAAATATTGTCAGACCATATATCTAGTAAGGGTATAGAATCAACTGTGTGAGGACCTCTTTCATCTCAATAACAAAAAGGGAAATACTACATAAAATGATGAATTACTTGAATAGGTATTTCTTCAAAAATGAAAATAGTCATCAACTGTGTGGAAAAATGCTTAACATCTTTAGTTTTTAGGCAAATACAAATAAAAAGCACAATGAGATGCCTTTCTTCCCATACAGAGATGACTACAAAAAAAACAATTAAAAATAGAAAGTGCTGGCAAGGATGTTGAGAGATTGGAGCCTTTATACATTTCTGATAGGAATGTAGGGTTTCTGCCACCACGGGAAACAGCTTGTGCTTCTCAAAACACTTACAAAAACTTTCATAAGACCCCAAATTCTACCTCTAGGTATATACAGAGAAAGATTGAAAACAGGAGCTGTGTGTTCTCAGTCAGTAGCAGCACAGCTCACAGAATATAGACACTGTGTGCTATCAGCAGGGGTGTGCATAAAATATCATCTTCTATATCCCATAGTTATCATCCATAAAATGAACCATAGCACATACCGATAATCCTAGCACTCAGAGGCCTGAGGTAGGAGGATTATAAGTTCCAGACCAGCATAAATTGTATAGTGAGACCTTGCCAAAGAAAGAAGAGAGGAAGATTGGGGAGGGAGGGGTGAAGAGATGGCTACTGAGACCAGTTCCTACAAGAATGAACTTCCAGTGCAGCATTCTAACTGAAGAAGCCAGACTCAGAAGGTCACAGATTGTGCGGTTCTAGGTAGATGAGATACCAGAATGGGAAAGTCCAAAAATACAGATGGAAACGGGTAGGCTGCTAGGGGCTGAGGGACAGGGAAAGGGGGCTGTAGGGGTAGTCATTCAACACCTTGAAAGTACCACAAGCCACAGAATTTCTTGTTTCCCAAATGTTTGTTTTGTATGATGTGAATTATCACCTCAATAAAACATAACAAAATTCAATAATAAAATCTGATTGCAGTTGTCAGCTAGACTCCCAGGACTTCTTAACAAGCACGCTCATGTCGATGTGTCTCGTGACAGTAGCTGGTAGAGTTTTGAATGGAGACTTGGTTCTGAATAATGAGTAATATATCATGTATTCAACTTTAATTTGGAAAATGGAAATAAGAGAAATGATATTTCTTGTTTTTCTTTTTTTTTCCAGGACTCTCAACTTGTATCCTCTGGACACAATAATCCAAGTAAGAACTTGTCTCTAAAGCTTTCTGTGGAGAGGGCAGGGAAAGATGAGCAGTGGGTGTCACAGAAGCCCCCAGGAAACACAATCAAGTGAGAGAAAGAGAGCCTTTTCTTTAGGCACCGCCTACATGTGTGATGAGGCTCTTGATGACCCCAAGTGTGGGTATTCAAGGGGGAGGAGGCCAAAGCATAGAGTAGTACATGCCAAGGGGATTCCAGAGGAGAAGAGCACCATGCTCCATTGGTCCCTAGTATATGTGAAGGAAATCAATTAAAAGGCAAGTAACGAGATGCCTAAATTAAAAGAAAATGAATAGGCAAAGAAATCCAAACAAAAGGCGTCACAATAAATGACCTTAGACTCTATTAAGTAGACACGCACTTGTTAAATATACTGTGCCTTCTTCCAGAAATAGGCAGGCTGGGCTGGACAGCAAGGGGTCCCCATACTGAATCAGTGGTTGATGAAGCATGTGAGCTCTGTTATCAGAGAGGGAGCATTGTGTGAAGGAGAGCTTTAGTTCTCTTCTGTGCCCTACAAGTTGGTATTAATGTTGTCTGTGGCATTAAAAATGCATAAGCTCCCTGTTTGTGTCTTAAAAGCAAACTCATGGAGACCAGGCATTGTTGGCTTCACGAGCAGCCAGTGAGCTGGGAACAGGGCAGCCTTTGCTAGTTACAAAGCTATGGGAAGATAAAAATCACTCTGAATTGGTAGAGGCATCTGTGGAACTGAGACTCATCCACTTGACGCCTGTAAGGCAGGAGAGTTTGGGAGAGAAGATGTCCACACAGTGTACTGGGAAGCTCCATAACATTCATGCCCAGATAGAGAAAAGTTCATTGGGGAGGGGGATGATGGCAGTCTGACACAGGACTTTCTGGGAGCACGGGTACCAGTGAGGAATCTTTGTAATTCTTCTGTGACAAGTTCTTGATGTTTAATAAGCTTCTGCTTTATAATATTAGGATATTAAGTATGTTACTGTATATTCACATATGAAAACACATGGTGTGTGTCTGCATTTTATAATTTGGGAGAATGCTTACTCAGGTGGCAGGTTGATCTTAAGTACTTCCTCCTCTCCAATTTGGATTCCTCACTCAGTGACTAGGATGCTGTAGAAATGGAACTGAATTAGCAGCAGCCCTAGTTCAGGAAAGGGGCCCTTACTGAAAAACAGCCCTGAGCAATGAAATTATAACTTGGACAGAAAAAGAAGCAACAAAGAGTGTGTGTTGGTATGGGGAAGAGCATTTGGGAGCCCCTGGGCAGGCTGTGGGTCTCCCTTGAATCCCAGGAGAACGGAAGGCGTGGATTGTCATGATGGACAGCTGGACCATTCCATCCCTGTCACCTTAAGTCCCCATCCTAACTAGTGCACATAGAATTTTCCACTTGATTTTCTTTTTTTTAAAGCTCAAAAAACCAAAACCCCAGTAATATTTGCTTAAGAGATGAGCAGTACTAGATCTCCTCCTAAAAAGAAACAAACTAGACTCTTAAGATGATGCTAGATCTGGAGTGGGCGTAATTCAGTGCTGGAAAAGGGGGCAGCTTTGTCTGCAAGATGACTAACCAAGAATTCTGTACGTGCAGAGTAAAGTATTTCCCGCCTTGTTTGGGAGCAAAAGGAGGTGTTGGACTCCTAGCTCACCTCCTCTCTTGTGACATTCCAGCCAACATACCTTCTCCTCTCATAGATCAGCCCTTTACTCCCCATAAGGCACAGGTGTTCTAGAAAGCTCCATCAGTGTTCTGGTGCAGAAATCAACACCTCCCTTGAGTTGAGCACCCTATGGATCAGACCTGTGAGCAGCAGTGAGCACTGAGAGGAGCCCTGACCCCAGAGGACATCTGTGTCATTCAGGGCAAGAGAAGGAGAGGTGTGAGTGTAGCTCAGTCTGCAGAAGGACCTGTAATTCATCAGCAAAAAATAAGTGGTTGCTGATTAAATGACCTTAAGAATGATCAATAAAATAAAAATTTAATAGACTCTCACAAAAGCAATAAGCATTAGTTCAAGACCCAAATCTGACATAGACAATTGAAACCTTTTTGTTTTTCTGATAAACAGATAGAAGTCAAAAGAGGCTAAAGTAAACAGACAACCAGAACAGCAGCATCCAGTTGATAGGAGTACAAGAAAAAAGTCAAAAACTAAATAACCTCAAATAACATCCCCATGAAAATAAGCAACATACAATTTAAAAAACACTTTATGTAAAAAAAAAAAAAGAGGTTATACTCACAACCACATGTAATCCCAGATCCAGGAGATTCAACGCTCTCCTCTGACTTTGTGTGGCTAACACAGATATATAAGTAAATACTAAACCTTTTTATTTTAAAAACTATGTACAGATACATAAGTAAATATTAAACCTTTTTATTTTAAAAACTAGGTAATTAAAGGCAAAATTAGATGAAATGAATGTTATTATAGTGTATGTTTATAGTGACTAATTTTAGAAATTATGTGTTTGATATAAAAATTTCACATACATAACCTAAACACTCCTACAACTATTTATCTAAAAAATGGCTTAGTCCTTTTAAAAGTAAAATCATTTTGCACAGTGGTAAAGCTGGTTGCTTCTTACCAGGAATTCCACCAAGCACAGCAAGAGGTAACCTCGGGCTGGCGTCCTCTTTTGGACGGTCCAGTAGGAAGGGTGGCAGCTCCCCACTCCCTCAGACCACCATAACCTTTGTCAACACTCGACAGAACTGTACAAGAAAGAAAAGTTGTAACTAATTTTATTCATGATTCCAATGCATAAGTATCCAAAGAGGATGTTTGCTAATTAAATCTAGCAGTGTATAAAATACATTTCAAAGTATAAGAGCTAAGAAATCCTATTTGTTCTGGTAACTCAAAATCAGATTCTGTTCAAATAGTGATAGAATTTATCATAGTTACTATGAAAAGGAAAAATGCATTTAATCCAAGACATTGAAAAATATTTCATAAAATTCTATATATGTAACTTAGAAAAAAATGTCTTAGCAAGTTGGGCATAGAAAAATAACTCATTTCTGCAAACAGTTATCCGTGTCTGTAAGGAAGAAGTTCCTAGAAATTCTGCTCCTTTGTCTTTAAGTGTACCCTCTACAGCTTAGGCAAAGGCACCATTTCAAGACTGATACCTCAGGATAGAATCCTTGGCCACAGCCATAAACTAAGAAAAAAGAAGATGTGGTGTTCATTAGGATGGAAACATCAGAACTCATCTCCCCAAATGATGTAATCATCAATATATTGATAGAACACTGAAAACCCTACAGATGAATTATTAGAATTAATAAGAAGATTTAACAATGCTGTATTCACAATCAATTGCATTCTCCTGATTTAAAAATAAAAGAAAAATCACAGTTAAAAATATCTGACATTGGCACAGAAATATAACTTACTAAGCAATGAATCTGAAAAACTACATAAGAAAGTGATGGGAAAAAATTGAAAACTATGGAGGAATATTACAGACAACCTCAATGAATAGACTGACTAGTATCGGGTTCAGACATTAGAAGGTGTGATGTAAAAATTTATACTTCTCCATACATTGTAGATTCAATACAGTGCCATCCAAGTTCAAATATTTGTATAGATAGAAGTAGGCAATCTGGGCCTGTAATTTATATGATAGAGCAAAAGATGAGAATGGCAAACACATGAAAGAGAATGAAGCTTGCATCTTGTCTTTACCAGCTGTGTCAAAACAACCAAAGCTACACGGTAGAGGTAGCTAGACTAGTGGCGTGACGGACCGTGAATGCATGGGAATTGTCACGCTGAAGCTAGCACAGTGGCCAGTGTGGATAGACGGCTGTCTTGTGCTGGAATACTTGGGATGGGAAACAATGAAATTACGTCTCACCTCGCATCATGTACAGAAGTTAACCTCGGGTATTTTTCAAAGACCAGTAAAACTGTGCTTTTAGAGGGTGGTAATGGAGCATCTTATCTGTGTCTTTGGTCAATGTGAAGATGGAAAAGGAAACTATTGGCAAATATCATTTCATTAAAGTTAAAAACATAGTTCAGTCAGAAATACCAGGGGGAAAAGTAAAAGGCTAAACACTGGACTCTTTTCTCTTATTATTTAGGCTTATAGTTTGTGTTTGTGGTGCTTAACAGGTCACCATGTGTGTTGGGACAATAGGTCACTGCATTGAACCAAAACTGGGTTTTATGAAATGGTACAAAAGAACCAGTACAAAATCTGGGTCTCATTGGTCCTTAGAGGCATGCAGGCATCACAGTGAAATTCTATTCCACACTGCTGTATTCCTTGAAGGATTGTAAATTTTGACTCACTAGTCTGGGACATAGCAAAGCCCTGCAGTCCAGTGCTTCTAGTATCTGCAGGGAAAGATGTTCATGAGTGTTGCAAATGCATCGTTCATATGGGTCAAGGTATACTTCTGAAACAAGCAAGATGCTGCTAGGTGCAAGGCTGAACCAACCCAGGGCTGTGTCTGTCCTGAAAGCTGTTCTTGAGCGTCAGAAATAAGTCTCCGAAGACCAGGTGGCAGCATGACTCCTTTCATGTAAAGTGTAGAAGCAGCAGTGACTGAGAATGTATTCCTGGGTGGTGAAATCTATCCGGAAAGAAAGGGAAGGTTTAACTGGAGTCCTCTTTCTAGGTAGCTGGCAGGAAAGAGGATGCAGTTCGCTGGGCCCACTCAGGAGGCACAGGATTACTTGCGAATATTTATTTCCAGCCTGGAAGTTTTTCTCATAGTCCATTTTAACCTATACACATCCATTACATACGCATTTTATGTGCACTAAAGGTACATAGTGTTAGAAATGCTAGGAAAGGCCTGGCCTTGACTTGAGAAAAACTAACCCATGGAATGGTGGACTGTAAGAGCAAGAACCACTGGCCGTAGGTGCCAGGAGCATTTACATTCTTCCGATGAGGAGGGGTTCCTTCTGCATGAGTCATCTCTTACTCCCTTGTATTATACTGAAAGGGCTCATTATTGGTTTATAAGTTCTCTAATTGACCTGATAGGCAAAGGGAATGATTAATTCATTAACTCAGTTAATATTTATGATGGCTTATTATGATTATGATTAAACAGACTATTTTAAAATTTGACTGTGAAAGGTATACCTAGCGTTGAACAAGAAAGGATGGAAGGAAAAGACATGTGGGTGAGCCTCTTCACTTTGCACTGTATAAAAACAAAAGCCAAGGGCCTACAGAGATGGCTCCGCTGTTCGGAGCGCTTGCTCTGTTCCCAGCACCCATGTGGTGGTAGTTTGCAACTGTCTTTTCACAGTTCCAATAGGTCTGATGCCCTCTTCTGGTTTCTGCAGACATTGCACTTCTGTGGTGCACAGATACGCACATTAAATAAAAGTACATAATTATTTTTCAAAAGAAGCTGATTAGTCAAGAAATAGGAGATTATTCTCTGTTCTTTCTTCAGAACATATGTATCTTTCTCTTCTTTCTTAATGTGAGAAATAAAAGATTAAACAAGCTTAAAAGTTAAAAGTATATATTAGAAACAGCTGAACCAGTGAAAATGATAGAGGGAAAATTTGTTACATTAATGAGAACAGATAAAATCTAAAGTAGATACATCTAACGTTATAAAATATTTGGAGTAATAATTGAAGGATAACAGAATTAAAAACACGAGTGAAGCTGCTGGTTTTCTCCGTGCTCAGATTCTCACACTGTGAGTGTGGATTCCCGTGATGGACAGTGAAGAAAAGGCCAGCACAGACAGGTGTTCTTTTGTGAAAACTTCAGCAGAATACAGTCCTACTGGGGGACCTTTTCTAGTATTTCAGTAATTTCAATAACGTTTCAGTTAAAATTTTAAAATCAAGGCGTGGTTCCTCATAATCTCCTTAGAAACTACATATCTGGCAGTTTTTCTTTTATTATCCTTTTTACTTTTTAAATTCTCTTACAGTGTATTTTGATCATTTTCATTCTTCTTTCTCCAAGCCATCCCAGATCTTCCCCTCCTCCCTTCGTAGCCAGCTTCATGTTCTTCCTCTTCCAAAAATTAAAAGACAAGATATCAGATTGTAACAACAGAACACAAAGAACACTGAACTCCACGTGTCCAAACTCTTTTCTGTCGGGAAGATGGCCACTATGACACCAGCAGTGCATTTGGTGTCTCTAAAACAATGTGAATTAGATTTGGGTTTTTATTTTTACCTCTGCCAGGCAGAATACCAGGCACACAAGAGCCCTCAGTATGTGTAATCAGGGAGGAAGCTACTGTCATTGAGTGGCCTGTTGAGTGATTGAGCTGTTCCGTGCCTCAACATATCTTCATCCCAATGATGACTGTACTGTAAAAATTCTAAGCTACCCTCAGCGCAAAGTTCTTCTACTGTCCATTTTAGTGACAGGCATCAGAAGACACATGTGGAACTGAAAACATGTATTATACACACACACAAGTGGTGGATAGCTGGAATGGTGGATAGAGGGAAGGAAGGAGGGTGAATGAATAGGAAGGAAGGGAGGAATGGATGGTTGGGTGGATGGGTGGGTGGATGGATGGATGGAGGCTTTGTGAATAAAGATGCTTGTTACCAAGCCTGATGACCTGCACTCAATCCATGGGATCCACCATAGGTAGAAGGAAAGAACCAACTCCCACAGATTGTCCTCGAACATACCTGCCATGCCACACACACACACACACGCACATTGGATAAAATGTAAAAGAAGGCTAATATTTTATATATATATTGCATATGTACATACACATTTTCACATATATCTGTGTGTTCCTTTCTATGGTTCATTTTCCCCTTCTTTCTGTAATTCTATTTCTTTATGCAAAATGACCACCCTGTACTTCTTCTGCCTTGTTTTTAAATGAGCAGTGCAGCCTCTCTCTCAAAGAGAACAAAGTGGTAGCATCCAAGAGCTAACTTGAAGGTGACTCCCAGATACCTTCTTTTCAGGGTGCAGGTACCCACTCGCCAATTCTTGGTCTTGAGACTTGGTTACCTCACCTCTGTCACTGTCCCTTGGGGCCTGATGAGGTAGTGACAACTCTCAGTAGCTCAAGCCCTTGAACGTTTCAAATGAACTTCAGAAATTGCATCACCTAAATTTTCAAAAATGTTGGGGGTTTAATTTGCTTGTATTTTCTACCAGAAATGCAAAAAAAAAAATGTATTCCCCATCTCAGTCTTGACCTTGCTTTTCCCCAGAAAGGGTCCCTCTCTTTGAGCACTGAGGTTGCCAAGAGCAGCCACTATCAGACTGCTCCTGCAAATGTCCCTCTTGGCCCTCCCTATTCTGTTTTCCCTGTTGCCACAACATAAGTGCTGCTAAGAGCAGAGACAATCGGCTGCAGCTTTGTCCCCGTGCTGAAGACAGCCCATGATGCCTCCAGCCCCCAGGTCCCATGTGCAATCCAACCTGGGTCCTCGCAGCCTGTGGGCTACTTGGCAGCATTCTTGGTCAAGGTAAAACATTTACTCAGACGTCCAATCAAGGTCTTCCTTTGTCTCATAATGATTCCTTGTTCTCTGACGTGAACTGTTGGAAGCGTATCTTGTCTAGTCCTGCCCAGCCCATTTGATAGCCTCCATCATAATGGTGCCTTGGTGTAACTGCTGGCAGCTGTTCCTTGGGAAATGTAACCCACTTCTCCAGACTCAGGGGAGGGGGGGAGAGTCAGTGGATATGAGAAGAATTAGACCCTCGTTTAGTTTTGTCTTGGATAATACAGGTGCTGTGGCTGTATTTTGGGATTGTGACAGGAATGGGGGTTCTTCTGGGAAAATGATTCTGGAAAGTACTAAATTAGGTTATTTTCCAGGCCACTTGACCAGACCTTACACGTCTCCTAAATGAACTTAACCACTGCTCTGCGCAGAAGACCCAATCAATCTAATAGAAAACTCAGGGTGTTAGAGCAAGCATTAGTCTATTATGTTTGCTTTTAACTCAACATGGTTTTTCCTGAGTCAGGAACCAACTAGTCTGCTTGGTATCAACATAAGTGTTGTGAGTTTTTTTTTTCCTTTCCTTTGAGCGTGTTTGGGACTGAGTAACTGTCTTCTGTGAGAGTTCTGGCAGTGCATCGACACACAGCAGAGTTATACCTGAGATTGCTTGTGTGTAGCTGTCCTCCCCCCTCACAATTGCTTCAGCTACCATAGGAAAATACAGGATGGGCTTTTGAGCTCAGTTAGGACAGTTTCTTTGGGAGGTTTGCTGTATAATCCAGGTGGTCGTTCCCCAAATGATACCACAAGCCTGTGTTGGGATAGGATAAGTGATCAGGTAGAAGGAGCTGAGCAGAAGCAGAGGGCCCTGGAAGGTGTCAGGCCTGATTTGAAAGCAACAGCAAAGAAGGTTGGCTCCTGCCACTGGACCCATCTCCTGCCGCTCAAAACTTTGTGCTGGGTTTGCCCAGCTATTGCACTGCAGACCCAGCATGAACAGCTCTTTTTTCCCTTCTGCTGCCACAAAACCAGAGGAGCTCCTTACCAAATGAGGGTGCACATTTCAAACCACAGTTGGCTTAAGGATTAAGTATTACCTTATGCCTGTTGTGAAAAGAATTTGGACTCCTTCCAGACTCCTAAAACTAAATCCCCAATAGCCACGTCCCATGGAGATGCTCGTTTACTTGCCTCTCAGATGGTCAGAAAGGATTTCTGGTTTATATCTTATTCGGCTTTTATTGGGAGCCCCAAAATCTGCTGCCAGAGTTCTCCATGGGGTGAAATTCTTGGACATTTCACAGCTATGGCTTCAGTGCTCTGTGAAATTCTCTCCAAGTTCCAATTCAGCCTGACCCCATTTGGCTTGTGTTAGCAGAAGGGATCAAAGTTCAGAGTGCTTTGGATGTACAATGCTAATGAATTTATTTCCTTAAACTTTTCTGTAAAGTGTAGTGGAGAGAAACTGATTCCATCTGTAAGATATTCATCTTCTGGCAAGGTCTGCGCTCCATGTCTCTGCTTGTTTGCAAATAGCTCCTTGGTACCTACTCAAGGCTCTGTGCCTGGGCAGTTGTATTGCCAAAGCGAAATTATTTTTCACATTCGGTTCCCAAACAATAAAAGATGTTTTAAAAGCCTCCCGCTGCCCATTTTGAAAACTTGTTAATAGGAACATAGAAATACGTTTAATCTTAAATCTTAAGGACTGGGAGACTGATGTTGGTGTTTTTTTCTCCACTTCCTTTTTAAGAGAAAGCTGACGCGGAGCCGGAGAGTCCAGACAATGGCACATCGAATACATCGTAAGTGTCTTTCACGTTTCTCTCTGAGATGGCTGTTCTTTAATATGCCGTATAAAATGAAACAGGGCAAGTATCTTGTAATGGTGGTAATCATAGTGGAAGGAGGCCCATGGTTCTCCTTTTTCATGATAATGTCTTTTTAAATGCTTTTGGGTACAGACACACTTTGAGGTTTTATGCCTTAGCATTGAAAAGGGGAATCTTGCAAATGCAAATGTTCTTCTTTATAAAGTGGAAATATAATTAGACTAGAGAGTGTGTACTAAGGGAGGATGGAGATAAGCCCTTTAAAATTTGGCTGGAAACTTTTAACACTGACATAAGGTTTGCTGAACTTTCTACACATACTGGAGGACATTCTGCCCCATATGCCCGTGAAGTACCCAAGTCGTTTAAAAAGCCTGCCATCTGCAGTCCCACCTCCGAAATATGTGGCAAACACAACTATAGATATCTCTGAGATCTCAAGAGCTCATTGATGTTTTCAAGTAAAGTACTTCTTAAACATGAGAAAAGACATTTAGAAGGTGTCTCGTTTTTGCATTTTTAGCTTTCCCTTCTCAGTACCGAAAGAATATACGTATGTTTTTAATGGTTAATATGATAGCGCATTGAGATCCCCGGAGCTCGGGAAGCAGCTCAGTTGGTAAAGCGCTGAGACATACGGTGTGCGCTTTGAATCTCAGCACTGGGGAAGCGGTCACGGGCAGATGCTTGGGGCTCAACAACTAGTCAGTCTCGCCTTCTCGGTGGACTCCAAACCAGTGAGTGACCCAATGTCAGACAGTAGTGCTATCATTCCTGTTTTCCGATACACCAGTGCAGTACATGATGGTAGCGAAGCAGAAGCTAACGAACGGCCATTTCAGCCTCAAGCATCTGTATGGTCTTCCTCCTTGAAAACATTTACTTTGATCACCTTTGGGGAGTGAAAGATGTTTATTATAGAAGTGACTTTGTGATCGCATCTGTTCCTGGATCATTGTTCTCGCTCCTAAACACCTGACGTGCTCTTGATTAGCAGCCATGGTCTGTGGTGCAGATTTGTCTTATCTTTTGTCCAGATCTCCTTCTGTCTATAGCGCTCCTCTGGCTTACACAGGGAGGCTGGATGTTCTGTAGTAGATATGACTATAGGTTGTGTCTCTCAATATACGACCCTAAACGTTCTAATGAATTTCATTGTATTTTCTCATGAAATACTAGTTATGACAGTCCTAAATGGTTAAAATGTTGTTAATTTTTTAAGTTATGCTATAGAATATAATGGGAGAAGAGTTTTAATGCCATCTGGAGGCATTCTAGAGAACTGAAAAGGGTAGAGTCACTGAAAATTGTAGCTATTTTGAGTACCATTTGGACAGGATAAGAATGCATAAACTAGAGTATGCATTTACCAATAGAACTCGTGGTGAAATAGTTGTGTTTTGTCCTTTGATAAAACATTGATCATTATAAAAGTAGCAGTCTTTCAAAATCATTTCCTAGATAGACAAAATAGCATCAAAAACTATGTTAGTAAACCGTCAGCATACCATACCTAACTTTACATGTTTTAAAAACCTTGTTCACCAGACATCAATTTGACTCACATAGTTTGATGTGCTGTTAATGGTCTCCTTCATTCCCTTATGCATTTCTGTAGCATCTGCTCCCTGAAATGTCAGTTCCCACTGCTTGGTGCTTCGTGTCTCCTATTGTGTAAAAATAAGTAGGCTGTGTAAGGAGTTAAGTTTAAGCCCTCTGGTGGTAGGAAGTCCTCAGCCCACCTCCCTGCCTCTTCACTCAAAGCGGTCCATTGTCACTTGCTTCATGGTTGTCACTCAGGCCAGGTAACAAAAAAACAGAGCTGAGGTTGCAAGGATCTCTTAGACGTGGGGCATTGTGGACTTGAGTCTTGAGAGTCTCTCAGAGCCCTTCCGCAGTCCTTCTGTTATACTCAGGCAGGAAGAACACTGTGACAAACAGCATAAGGATGCCTGGGTAGGGTTGGTATTCGTGTAGATGATATTATATGCACCTACTCACATGTATATGTACATATGTACATAAACAATCATACACAGACACACAGACACACACACACACACACATATCTCCCTCATTTGTATTTTACTGTGATAGGCATAGCAGTAACACTCTGCCCACATTACATATAAGGAGTCTGAGGATCAGAAAGGTTTCCCAATTTAAAGGATAAATTAGGGCATAAATGTGCCTACCTACCTTACTTAGGAATGTATAGTCTTGAGACAAAGTCAGGCCATGAATTGGAAACAAATTTTGAAAGTGTTGAACTGCCCTTTTTAGAGATGAGTACCAGTCAGGGGCCAGTTATAAAATATCACAGACTTGATGGCTTAAGCAACAGAAATGTATTTTCCCACAGTTGGTTCAGAAAGTCCCCCCCCCTTCTGACTGTTGGGAGAGGGGCTACCTGCATTCCTGGCCTTGTGTCCTTACCTCTCTATTTGTCTTCCCAGCATCTCCTTCCTCCTTGCATGCATCCTTCTCTGTGCCCCTTTTTATCAGAACACCAGCCACATTGGTTGAGACCCACCTTGTTAATTTTAGGCCTCACCATGATGGTTTCATTTTAATATGATTCCTTCCATAAAGATCCTATCTCAAGATGAGGTCACGTTTTGAGATAATAGTTTTGGTTTGAAGAGGAAATGTCCACATGGGTTCCAGTTTTGAATACTCGGTACCTCCAGCTGGTAACACTAGCTGAAAAGCCTTTGGAGACATCCACACTGGGACTTAGCTGGAAGAAGTTCACATGGGGGGGGGGGGAAATCCTTGAGAGTATCTTGTTCTTGTCCCTTCTTCCCCTTTCTCTACTTTCTTTGTCAAGGGTCCCCACTGTCATGATAATCTGCCAAAGCTCATACAACCAAACAAGTGTGGGATGACCCTCTGAGACTGTACACCAGAATAAGCAATTTCCTCCTTTAAACGATTCTTTCAGCTTGTTTATCACAGCTATGTAAAATAACCAGCACGATACTAAAGTTAGAGCTTCAGCATATGGATTGCTGGGGAGAAACAAGTCAACCCATAGCACCAAAGGCCACTTAGGGAAGGGAATGCTTAGGAGTTAGGATTTGACAGGAACAGAATGTACAGATTTCGGAGAATGGGGCGAAGGGAAATAGCCTGAATAAAACAGATGAAAAGTCACAGCTTCCACAGGGGCTGAGAAGGCTCACACCGTGGCTGCAATTGGGCAAGGCATGGTGGGACACACCTGCAGGCCCAGCACTTGGGAGGCAGAAGCAAGAGGATCATTGCGAGTTCAAGGCCAGTCCTGGTCTGTATGGTGAGTGCCAGGACACCTAGAGCCACAGATACAGAGCAAATCCTGTCTCGATAAATACATAGCTTTAGGAGTTAGAGCACACTTTCTAAAGAAGCGTCCTTCTTCCTTGTTAATTATAATGAGCTTCAGATGTGCATTGCATGGTAGGACAGATGAATTGGGGAAATACCTGAGATTTCCTTCAGGATTGATGATCCAAAGATTGAAGACGATGAAAAGAGCAATTTAGTATTTAGATACAAACAAAACCATAAATATCTGTGAAAGAGTTTTGGTTACATTAATGACAGGAAAATTCATGCTAGTTGAATTCCCCTCCTCTTGAGTATTTGAAAACGGTCTGAAGTCTAAATTTATTAAGGCAAGTATAGAAGATTTGATCCAGAAAGGAAGCAAAGTGAATTGAGTGAGAACTCCATTTGGATTGCCCCTTCCCTGGGGGCACTCAGCCATTCACGAGAAGCAGCAAGAACTTAAGGAGGGAAACCACACTTGCAATGGTGTGAGATGTCAGAGGATGAAGTCCCCAGCTGTGAAAGATCATGGCCATTAGGGGAAGAAGACGTTTCATAAAGGAAAAGTGATGAGAAAGGGACAGTAGTGTATAAATCCCCCAAGTGCTTTAATGGCTCTAATTTGCATTGTTGTGGAGAAGATACCTGTGAGCACAGTGGGGAACAATAACTAGAAAGCTGAAAGGGACCAGCAGAGAGGGCAGCTACTGCCTCAGTTGTGAATTCAAATCTCACCCAGGATACAGGTTTGGGGTAAAACTTCAGTTTTCCTAAACCCAGAAGGATCAAGCTTTGAGAGCAAAGTGAGGCTAGAGAGACAGGTCAGTGGTAGAAAAGACATACTGTTCTTGCAGTTTGGGTCCCAGCACTCAGGTCAGGCACTTCACAACACCTATAGCTCCAGTTCCAGGGAATCCAATGGCTAGTTTTATGTCAGCCTGACACAAGCTAAGGTCGTTGGAGAGGAGGAGCTCCAATTAAGGAAATGCCTTCTTAAGATCAGGCTATAGGCAAAACTGTAGGGCATTTTCTTAATTAGTGATTGATGGGAGAGGGTCCAGCCCATTGTGAGTGATGCCACCCTTGAGATGATGGTCCTGGGTTCTATGAGAAAGCAGACTGACCAAGCCAGTGAGGAGCACTCTTCCTTGTCCTCTGCATCAGCTCCTGCCTCAAGGTTCCTGCCCTACTTAAGTTCATGTCCTGACTTCATTTAATGATGATGCATAGTGATGTGGAATTAAAAACCAAATAAATAGCTACAGAAAATATAAATATATGAATATGTTAAAAATTATTAATGCCATGAAAAATGATATTTTGTAATTTTTGTGTGTATGCAAAAGTAAAATATATGGCAGAAGCAACATAAGTGATGAGGGTCCTACATTTCATGTGAAGCAGCACAATATTAAATCTAAGTACACTAACTGTAAGACCATTATACATAGTGCAGTACATGGGGATATCACTGGAAATGAATATTGATTAGACCTTATCTAAAAAGTAATTGCAGAAATTTTTAAAAATAGATTAACACAAATGGTGATACCACAAAAAGTCCAGAAACAAAAGACGGAAGATAACAATAGAAAACTAGCCAATCTAAGTTTGGTAAAAATTCCAGCTTGAGGGGGAAATGCCATGCTAGCTATAAAATCAAG